GCGCGTGACCAGCCTTCCAGCCCCCGGGAACGCCAGGGGCACCGCGGAGCCCGTTTCCGCGGACACGGTCCCCACCCGAATCACCGCCACCTCCAACCTTGGCCTCCAGCCCCGACCTCTGCCCGCAGTCCGGAGCTTCATGCCCGCACCTTTACTTATTTATTTATTTATTTTTGTCTTTTTGAGACAGGGTCTCCCTATGCAGTTCAGGCTGGCCTTGAGTTCACTCTGTAGCCCAGGCTGGTCTCGAACTCGAACGATCCTTCTGCCTCAGCCTCCCGAGTGTCCAGCACCTTTTTTATACTTTTACTTTGAGACACTCTCCTTAGGTAGTCGAACTGGCTTGAATTTGAGATCCTCCTGCCTCAGCTTCCCTAGTATAGGGATGACAGGCGCGCGCCAGGCTTCGGCCCGCAGAGTCCTGGACAATGTCGTCCCCCGCCCCGGCCCAGCTGACCGCCCGGCCTCGCCTGCCATCCCGGACCCCGACTCCGGCCTGCCCTCCCGGACGCCGTCACCTGACCCCGGCCCGGCCTCGGCGGAAGTGGCCCCCAGGCACGGTCACTGAGTCCGCGTGGCCAGGTAGGTCGGGAGGGGTGGGGACGCTGAGCCTTCCAACGGCCCCGGCAAGCGGACGACGAACAAGTAGCGGTGGGCGGCGGGCGGCACTCACCATGGTGCCGGCCAGACCAGGCGCAGCCAAAGCTCCGCACAGAAGCGCAGGCTTCAGCAGTCGGCTCAGGCGACCCAGGAACATAGCGGCGACTAGAGCCAGCGGCTCCTCCCCTCTCCCCGCCGGCCAATGGACACGAGCCGTCGTGCCTTGCCAGCCCGCCCTCGGTTACGCCCACCCACGTTCCCATTGGTCAACCTCGCCGTTATGCGGATACGCGGCGGCGCCAGCCAATGGGAGGCGGGGTGAGGGGCAGACGGGGGCGGGGTGCGGCCCGCAGGTTTGTTGTCGTCAGTGACTGCGCATGCTCGTTTCCGGGGCAGAGGAGTGGGAGGTGCGTTCACGCGGACTGTGCGCAGGTTGACTGCGGACAGTGCTAAGAGTTGTTACCTACGCAGCGGCCAGGTTTCTTGAGAATCCTGGAAACCCGGGGGCGGGGAATATAAATCGCGGGCAAGCCCCCCCAGTAGCATTTTGAACCGGGCGTGGTGGCGCATTCTTGTAATCCCAGCACTGAGGAGGCTGAGGCAGGAAAATCGCGGCAAGTTGGAGGCCAGCCAGAGCTACAAAGTGAGTTCAAGGCCAGCCTGAACTGCATAACAAGACCCTGTCTCAAAAAAACAAACAAACAAAAAAGACTCCCCCCAAAAAAAGCCTTTTCAATGTGGACGTTTGACTTTTTTTTTTTTTTTTTTTTTTTTTTTTT